GCCAACCTTTGCTATTCCTGGATTTTCGGGTGTCTTAAACTACAGTCTACGAGGAAAAGGTTATATTATGGTAAGGATTCTTTTAAAAAAACGGATTAATTTAGCGTTGAATAATTACAAACGCTTTCCTTGAAGTTTGGTTGATTCATCAGGCTTCATTGCTTAGAACATCTGCAAGAATCTTTTGGCCATTGAACAAAACTATCTTAATTTTTCAGGTCAATACCACAGGACTTTACTTCATCTCAGTTTCATGTGGCGATGAATGTGAAATATGGCTAAGAAAAGCCGAAGAACCAGGACTGGAAGATGAGAGATACTATGAGGAGTTGTTGATTAAAATCGAATCACCTACGTATCCCACCAGATACAAATTGTAAGGAAACGTTGAGCATTCTTTTTCCCGTTTATTTATTTGTTTGGTTTTATTTTTTAGTTACTTTTCCAGGAGCAAAAGCCAATACATATATCGTAACTTCAGCAAATGTCATTTATATCACATGGAAGTTTACATGCGACAAAGGGTGAACCAGGATTATCTCACTGTGGTTGCAAGGTTACCTGGCCAAAACAATGTCCAGCTTTTCCCTCAGGAGTACCTGTACTGGATGAKACCAGGCAAGTGTTGKTTTTTTATGACGCTCTTTCAGGTGCCCGTTACCTGAACCGTACAAGTGTCTAGTACGCCTATCTCGATTTATCATTCTCTAGTACTGGTTATTTTTAGATTCGTATGGATGCCAAATGATAAAGAGCGTTCCTCATKAATTCCTCATATTTATGTCATCAAAATGGCGGCTATAGCTTCTTTATTTCTCAAGGATTGAAAAGCCTTTCTAAATATCTATAGGAAGATACGTGAGCTGTACGCTCCGTGTTATTGGCTCCTGGCAAAGCATAACATTTGCAAGGTTTTTCCATTTTGATCTAATAATTAACTAATTATTAATTATCAAGCTAATTACCATTTCAATTGAACAACAGGTTCTAGAGTTCTGGAGTTTCACTTAACCAACAACATCAGTAGAAAGATTGCTCTAGGTTCAGAAATCACCTTAGAAGGTAATTAAATTCGTCAATAATTAGCCCTTTCCGATGTTGACGGGGAAAAGACTGGGTCAAGATGTCATTGCAGTGCATCGTGGGGCTGTTTTAGGGGAAATATTAAAACGTCCCTAAAACAGCCCCAAAATACACTGCAATGCCAACCTTAAGTATTATATCCTTGTTTTAGCGTAATGCTTGAGAAGCCAGTAGATGTGAATGCTGCTTGCGACATTGGAAAAAATTGCCCACCCATTTGGAATATTTGCTCTTTTCGGTCTTTTACCTCTCTTTCCAAAGCAAAAGGTTGCTCTTAAAGTTATATAGCACAAGTAAACTGCGTGACAAAACATCCTAAACATCAGAAAAAATCTGTTAACATTTGGTCAGCTACGATTTCAAGCTCACGCCCCCTCATGTGAGCCCATACAAAACTCATGTCTCAAAAACACGGTTTTTGGATCTTTTCTCAAAATAAAGACTATCTAGGCAAAAAACAGTGTTTTTTTTCAATAGAATTCAATCTAAACCATATAATACAGTCCGTGAATAGTTGAATTAACTGAATCCACTTCTGTTTTTTGCCTAGATAGTCGTAGAAAAGATCCAAAAACCGTATTTTTGAGACATAATTTGTATGGGCTCACATGAGGGGGAGTGAGTTTGAAATCGTAGCTGACCAAATGTTAACAGATTTTTTCTGATGCAGAGATTAATGATGGTAATTGAACTGAGTGGAGTGCAATTTGGTCTGAAATCAAACGTGCGTTACAAAATCGCACGACCGCGTAGCGGGAGTGGGATTTGTAATTGCAAGTTTGATTTCAGACCAAAATTGCACGACACGAAGTTCAATTACCACTTAATCATATCCTTTTTGTAATCATACACGAGGAAAAGGCACAATAAAGAGTGCAGAATAATCAATTTAATGATGTAGTAGAAGAACTATATGCGAACAAAAAAAAAAGGCTAAAAATGTTTTTTTTGTTTTTTGTTTTTGTTGATTTTTTAGTTTTATTTAGTTTTATTTTATTGTTTAAAAGAAATATTTTTTAGGGTGCAATTAAGAGCTCCTAAGGATGCAATTTGGGAATTAATCGCACTCCTTTGAACCAATCAGATTGCAGTATTTGGTAGTGATTACAAAAAGGATATGATTAATTATGTAATTAATCATAAAATTGAGATATTAAAATGATTTATAACAATAAAATAAATAATAAATATCATAAAAATAATATATTAATGAAAATATCTTGAATAAAGTTTAACTTACTAATAAATTATTATATCATCACTCATTTTGTCAAGAGGATCCTATACAGTGATCTGCGGTCATTACGAACTATTTATCATTACTCCACTCCACAGCTGTCTACAAATTCTGCTGCAAAGGTATTCTCTGTCCTTCCTGCCCCCTGGTATTAAAGCTAGAAGCGTTTAAGCAGACCATAATGGTCAACAGGAGCCTAGAAATGACCTGTGAAGAACACAAAATGAGACACAAAATCGAGGCGGTCGTTCAACCAGGCAACTACAGTATTTATGTAAGAATGTGTTTTGTTGAATTATTTAAACGTCTACAGCTAATTAAGAGTAAGCTTTTACTAAAATACAATTCCATAATATTAATATTTTACATATCAATAAGATCATTTATGATTTTCTGGCTGGTGACACTCATTACTGGAAAAGAAAGAGAACTATCGCAGAGTCCATACAAGTTTCTGGTAAGAAATTTAAACAAAATTAGCCTGATTAAAACTGAATCTTTAAATGATCATTTAATTGATTAATATATAGTTATTTATTGACTCTGCTGTAGATTCTACAAGACTTCAGTGCTCTTTTCGCGATGGAAGATGTCCCGGATGGATCGTTACGTCACAAGACATTTCATGCCAGTGGAGTTTAGAAAAGCCAGGAAAAACTGAAGACAAAATTATCTATCTAGGTAAGATTATTTATCTATTTATTTATTTATTACTATTATTTTGTTTAAAAAGAACCACTAATGAATATAATTTAGTGCTATAAGGTAATTGCCAGAATCCTCGATATAATTATAATAATAACTTTAATTCTTAACATAGCGTGTTCCACAAAATCTCAACACGCTTTACAAAGCATAAAAGAAAATACATATTAACAATAGTGAAACAGATTTTTAAAAATGAAAACTTATAGATATATTTAATTGTAAAATGTATATTTTTAAAGTTTAACATCATAAAAATAAGTAAATAATAGTTCGCTGTTTTTAAAATTTAACGTCATGTTCAAACAAAAATGTTTTTAAAAGCTTTTTAAAAGAGTCTAATGATTTCGTGTACTGAATGTTCTCAGGAAGTGCGTTCCATTGTCTCGGTGCGTAAATAGAAAAAGCTTTATTGCCATAATATTTTGTTCTTGCACGTGGAACATGAAGTGTCAACTTGGATGCATATTAAAAGCTCACTTAAATAACTAGGAGCAAGACCATTTAGGCACTTAAATATTGATAACATAATCTTAATTATAATACGTTTCCTTGTGAGAAGCCAATGTAGTTCTTTAAGTATTGGAGATACGTAGTTCTTTCAGTATTGGAGATACGTGCTCATGTTTCTTTGTTTTGGTGACGAGTCGAGAAGCAGCATTTTGAATCATCTGCAGTTTAGATATTTCAGTGTCAGACAAACCGTAAAGCAGACTGTTGCATTGGTCTATCTTCGATGTAACAAAAGCGTATACAAGTCGTTCGGCACTACGGTGGTCAAGATATCTTCGAATTTGACCAATGCGTTTGAGTGAAAATGATGCTGACTTGCATAGATTGTTAATATGATGTGTCATTTGTAAATGTTGATCAAGAGTGGCCCCAAGATTACATACTGAACAAAGGTTGATGATTTATAAACTTGGACGAGAAGTGAATGACCTCAGTCTTTGCTGTGTTACATACAAGTTTGTTCACTTTCATCCAATGAAGAATAGAGCCAATGCATTGTGAAGGTCAGTGAGTCCTGTTTGATGTTCAGCTGAATTATCTATGGTCAGATAAAATTGAGTGTCGTCGGCGTAGACTGCGCAACTAAGACCATGCTTGTCAGCGATGTTCTTTATAGGTGATGCATACAGCGAGAACAGAGTTGGTCCTATTACGGATCCCTGTGGTACTCCTCTGAGTAGCGAAGAGGAGGACGATATCTGATTGTCAATCTTTACAGCTAGTTTTCGTTCGCAAAGATAGGATCTTACCCAGTCAAGAACTCTGTTCTCCATACCATAATATACTTGAAGTCGTCTAAGCAGAATGGCGTGGTCTACCATGTCAAAAAAGGCAGCTAGGTCCAACAGGACTATTATAATTTCCTTGTGGCTATCAAGTGCAACACTGATGTCATTGTGGACATGAAGAAGAGCTGTCTCTTTGCTGTGGTGTAATCTATAGGCACGGRAAAAAAAACACACAACAACGACCACCACAACAATTACAACAACAAGCAAACATAGTAAACTTAGATCAATTATACAAAGATCAAACATTCACATATTCAATTACTGAACCGAACAACGAAAAAAAGGGGGAAATGTGACTTTAGCGGGAAAACGCGTTTATTATGCTTGAATATCTTCTTGATTGTTTTAGGTGATTTTATAGCTCTAACTACTCCAGGAATATCGTCTCTGGAATCCCCTTCTATGCCTTGGACCTCTAATTATAAACATATAAGGATGTGTGCTGAGTTCTCATATCTTTTTCCTTCCAACACGTCATCCCGTCTCGAGGTTTATAGAAAAACTAGTTCGAGTGAGGATCTCTTGTGGTTGATTAAAGGCCATCACGGGATAAAGTGGCAACGAGCTAACATACCTTTCAAGTCAAAAGAAAACTTCCAAGTACGTTATAATAATCTTTCACGTAGCTAAGAGATTAATGGTGGAATATTTTGCTTGTGGCTTTCAAATAGTCATATTTTGAGTGGGTGTTCTGTCTAACAAAAATCAAGAATTGAACGACAGCTGTAAAAAATTGAATGAAATTCTAATTCCTCCCTAATAAAGCCCCTTCAAAATTATCATTCAACAGCTCAACAACATTTTTCAGTGCCATTCAGGTCATCGGTCGACAGAGCAAAAAAACATGCTTTTTTCATTCACTTGTATTAGACAACGAAGTATATTTACCCGAAATTAGTATAGGAAATCGCACGATCTCGAGTACAATTTGAGAAGATCGTGCGATTTTTTGTAGTAGTTCACTCAACAAAATTTCAGTAAAAAATGCGAAGCGACGCCGTTCATCTTTGTCTATTTGGCGGCCGATTTTCAGTCCATCGCGCAACTGAAATGCATAAAAAAGATTAGTTCTTACGGCTTTGAAATTTTATTTATATGTTTTTTAAGTACAAAATGATAGAAAATAATTGTTTTGACATTGTTTTGGCCGTGTTGCCATAGCGACTTAATTCGGTACTCCTACGGAGTACAATTAACGTTATAATTGTACTCCTCTCGACCAATCAGAGTCGAGTAATTTTGTTGAGTGTACTATAAGTACACTCATGCTTGACAAATTGCTTTACAAAATACCAATACTCAGTCAGTACGTTGTTAAAATTTAACGCTGGTATCTTGGTTTAAACAAAAGTAAACTCACAAAAACGTGCTTAAGGTGACGCATTATAAGCATACGATTTTCTCTAGTGCCGTTCCTCAAGGAACCTCCAGGCAACCAAAGATCCTTAGCGATATGYTTATTTTTTCATAGATCATTTTGAAAGGAGTGTCTAAGACAAACGGTTCTAWTTCTTTGGCGATAAGAGGCTTTCAAGTAACCAGCAGATCCTGTAGGCATCGCCCAGAGTTTGCAGAACCAGGTATGAGTCAAAAAAATAAAAAAAACCCGTGAAACTTTATCGATAATCTAAAACTACCTCAAAGCTAATCAAAGTCAGGGCACGGCTAGCTCACAGATCGAATGGATCCGTTTCGAATTCCAAATTACCGCTGTGTTCCTTGACTACAGACTCATTTGCATACGGTTAGCCTCGAGTTTGTGCAGAATATTCACGTGTTCCGTTCAAGGTCCGTCAAGTTTCAAAGTGTTTGTATTGTCGAAGTTGTGCAAATGAGTCTGTAATCAAGGAACACAGCGGTAAATTGGAATTCGAAACTGGTCTATTGCAGTTTAGCTTGTTAGGGTTTTGCTGAAGAAGAAGCTGAGAAAACCCCTAAACCAAGGGAGAGACCTAACAAACTCTTCTCACATGTAATGTCAAGTCCCAGATGTGTGAGGCGAATCAGTGCATTCCTATATTCTCAGTCGTCCAAATAAAATGTTACGTTAAATTACACTTTCATTGAGCTTACAAAATTACCAGCTAAAAGATCCTTTATCATATTCTAAAGGATTTGTATGTGAAGTAACTGACTTCCAATGTGCTAATGGCCAGTGCATTAATAAACATCGAAGATGTGATGGTATCCATGGTGACTGTCCGGATGGTTCTGACGAGAAAGGTTGTGTTTGTCAAATTGGTTACTTTACCTGTGCCAATCAAAAGKGTATCCATCACAATAAACTGTGTGATGAAAAGAGACACTGTTCAGGAGGCGAGGATGAGCTTCATTGTGGTGAGTCACTTTCTCGGAGTTGGTTATGAACTTTATGAAATAGAAATTACAATAATTACAACTTGTAGTACCAAATTAAAACTAGGTTTTTAAGCAGCTTTATGAAAATCCTATGATAACAAGCAGCAAAATATGAATGAATGGGACATGAATTTKGCCTCCTCATTAAAGATCTAGAACTATAGTTATTTGTTAGCTTTCCATTTTTTTACCCGTTTTTCGTCTCTTTCAAACGTAGATAAAAAGTGCCCAGGACACCAGTGTCTGGATGGGACATGCAGTTCGTGTGGCCAGCAGTCGCACTGTGAAGAAAAGAGACATCTATCGTGTGGTATGCTAAATCATGTTTATAAGCGGTGATATTTATCTATTATTGATAATATTTTAGAGTTGTAACTGTTCGAAATCGATCACAAAACGTTTGCTTACTTACGTACAGATGCCTTTGTAACTAAGCAAATGGCCAACTCCCAAAGATGTCAAGTTCAAAGAGGTAACATATTGATAATGATCACAACTATCATCCCTATCACCACCAACATCCCTATCAGCACCAACTTCATCGTTTACCTTTACCATTACCATTACCATTAACACAACCAACACCAGCACCTCAACATAAATTATACCACATATTTGCGGAGCATTCTATTCGAAGCCCCTTTTCAACATCTTTTGCAGTACGTAGCTAAGATTCTTTTATTATGATTGGCAGGAATTTGTGGTTTCCACAACGAGCTCTGCGGCTTTCAAAACGATACCAAGGGCATTCTTTCATGGGATTCCTTTAAACCATTGGATTATGATACTGAGTTGAGGAAACAAAACCTCTCTCGTAAGTATGACCACAAGTCATTGACTGACAAAGGAATCAACTAAATTTTTCTCAAACGGACAGTCTATAAATTTACTATACACTTATTTCAATAAAGTTAGTCGCCTGAAAAGCTACAAAGCTGAGACCGGCAAGGATTATGTGTAGATAAATTTTACATGTTTCAAACGCTTGATAACTGTTGATGGATTGAGATCTTCTACCAGTTACAAGTCAACCTCCTCTGAGAACCCTCAACTGCTGCAGTTTGTGTCAAAAGCTTCACTTGTTGGATATAAAACATTTCCCCATAATTCTCAGCGATCACAGCTTTCTAGGTTTTTGGTGACTGACTTTATTGAAATAAGTATATTTATTATTTTTAAAATATTTGAGATATAACGCGTGCCATGATTGGCTGGCTACCGTGTTTATATCAGAGGACAGAGACACGCTCGCGCGAAGTCATTCAAAAATATTTTATAAAAGCGATATAAAACGTCCGCTTGTGTCTATATACTCTGACATAAACACTCTGGGAGCTGTAGGGCACTCGAGAAGTCAAAGGAACACTCGGCTACGCCTCGTGTTTCTCTACGACTTCTTACTTGCTCTACAGCTCCCATCGTGTTTATATCACAGTATTTAGCATATACCAACTTGTGTACTTCCTAAGAACGCGCGCGCTCATTGGTTAATTGGAGGTGAGTATTGTTCGATATTCGCCTCTGAATCTCGGAATATTGGGTCGGCAACAAAATAGCATCTGCCGACAATCGTTTTTCTACAATTTCCGATGAGGAAATTGAAAAAATAAAAGTAAATGCCATTCCTATCAATGCTAAAAAGGCAACGAAGTATGGCCTAAAAGTTTTGCTTAAAGTATCGGATATTATTTAAGTATATTTATTGATATATTAGATCGATACTTTTAGATACACAATCTTAAAACCTATGGTCTGAAAACCTTTTCTTTTGCTGCCCCTCATCTTTGGAATTCATTAACTCCAGAAATAAGACAGTGTGATTCTCTTTCTTCTTTTAAAACCCATATAAAAACAATGCTCTTTAAGGATGTCGTTTTATAAAAATGAGTATTGGCAGGGATTGTTGTTGTTTGCATCTTATCAAATATGTTTTTAATATTAAATTCTTAATTTCCTTGATGACTGTTTTTGATCTGTGTATATAAAGTTTATAATGAAATTTTATATGCAATATGTAGTATGAAATGTAATATTTTGAAATGAAATGTAATGTAATGTAATGTAATGAATGAAATGTGTATTATTGTAGTTTTAGATAACTTTAATGATCAATTTACAGACTACTCCAACCAAAGCCACCTCGACAAATATTCCACAAATTAACCAATCAGAAGTAGGAATCTGAGCAATAGAATTGCTACAAATCGGACAAATATCCATGGGTTTACACGGCTTAGAAGAATGCCGGCACCTTTGTTGTCGAATATAAACGTGCTGTCGCATAGCAACATGGTGATAAGATCTAACAGTGTCAGTCTGATAATATCTTTGTCTGGAAACAAACTGTAATCATAAAGACTGTGTTTTATACTGTCTCTAATTTGCTTTCCTGTCGTATTTAAAGTCGTACATAACTATTTTTCTATATCTTTGGTGACACAAATCACDAATTTGCGAAGAAAATATATTACAAGCTCTTCTTCATCATTTAGTTTTACCAACCGGAACAACGGAAGAATATTTAAATTCAAAATTTGCCGCTAATCTATTGTCTAAATACTCAAACACTATTGGRTAATTTGTGGAAAATTTGTCGAGGTGGCTTTGGTTGGAGTAGTCGCATTGTAAACTAATACGTTTGATAAATTTGATTTAAGCTTCAAATATAAACCTACTTTTATGTTTTATCCATATTTCTTTTCTTATGATCAATATATTGTAAAGCGTTGTTGAAGCCATGCGATATTGACGCTATATAAAATACTCTTTATTATTATTATTTTTATTAAATATTTATATAAATGTATACTACAACCTTTCTCAAATCGAGTGTGTGTATATATATATATACACAGTCAATTGTAGAAAGGTTGTAGTATACATTTGTGCATATATACAAACATCTAATGAGATGCAAAAACGCAAAAACTGCATAAAATATGATTGTGTACATATAGAAAGTTAAATTGCCACTTGAACGACAATCGCTCCGAAATTAAAACTCTTTCATTCGAGCTGGAACTTTGCTGAAATAATCTTGAATACATTAAGAACCACTCACTGAAATGTCTTTCTGACATTCGAAAGGGAAGGGCCAAAATTTTACGATTTATTTTCTTCCGCCATTAATTTTTTGACTCACGGCCTACGAGTTATTATGTACAGCGGTTTTACGCTGTGATGTCATTTACTCAACACCTTCATGTTAGCGTCGTTTTGACTATACATTTCTTGTTAAGTTACCGGAAGTTTATTGGATGTTTTAAACGCGTTATCGTGAAAAGAATAATCTAAACACTCTTTTTAACTCGTGGATACGCGAAGCGTAGAAACGAGTTTTTGTGAGGGGTCTGAATATGCAAATGTGTCACTCACTCACTCACTCACTCACTCACTAAGATGTTAGCAGATCGATAATTAAACGTTTGTCGATCGTCTTACGTCATCTGATTACGAACGTTGCACGACACTAACAAGAACAAAGCTCTTTATACCATATAGATTACTTTGTTACTTATATGGGGGAACGAAATGCTGATGTTCCATGTGGGATATATTTCTAGCACTTGTAAACGCCGTGGGGGGCCCACTGTGCATGCGCACAGTCGGACATACTTTTATCTTCGAATTATTCATATTAAAAGAATCAAGCGGAAACATGCAAGTTGAAGTAAAATTATATTGAAGCCTGAAATAAAATTTCAATGAGTTAAACCTTTTTTTTCTGATGTATTAAAGTAAACAAAAACGCTTATGTAACGTTAATATTTCGATTTTTCAGAAGCCTCGTAGATCGAGCCGGATATCGAAAAAAGGTTAATAAGAGATTCTGATTTCAAGCGCTGGAGGACTTTATTCTCCATAGAGACAGCTCAAAGTCACGGCGGTATTCAGCAAAACAAATCTCATATTGTCTTGCATATTCAGTTTTGAGCTCGTAGGTTAAATTATTCCTGGAATAAAACACACAGCCCGCCTTTGAAATTGAAAACAGAGAAAGCGTTTTCAAATAGATCTTCTTACAATTATTCTCTGTACTTGACTCAGTTGACTCTATTCTTCGTTTGCAATAGACGTCATAGCCGCCATGTTGGAAGAATTTGACAAAAGAGTTTTCAATGAATTCTTTTGTTATATCTTCCAACATGACGGACATCCAGGCTTTTGTAATTGTGCTCTCTTCGGATTAATTGCAAACCAAGAATCGAAGTCGTTAGTCGAAGTCGTCTTTCGTATTAATTGAAGTTCAGACAATTAATTCATCACAGAATTCGCTTCCAAACTCAACAAAATAGCGAAGAATTAGGTGTTAAAAGGAACATAAAAATGACGATTACTCATCTTACTAGATAAATTGAGTATTTAAAATATTACATCGAGCGCAGTATTTGGAATCCTTTGAGAATGTCAACAAGCATAAGGAGGGCACAGGAAGACCAATCTTCGAAAATTGCAACAAGTATCCACGAGTTCGCAAAAGGGCGTTTGATTTTAAACCTTTGATACCTTTTCAAATATGATGGAAAGTCCTTTGGATGCTCGCTTTGTCAATCCTGAAGAGTTAGAACCAGAAGTTATCGTGTATAAARRWGAARCCGAACTAGAAGAAGAAGMAWTGCTTGGGAAGAGGTTTTCATAAGAATTCCTTACTTTCATTTCATTATTTGTATTTGCTATATTCTGTCCATGATATAAAGATCTTAAATTTGAAGTTCTAATGTAATCTAACAGCTATTGATGTTATGAAAAAAACCGATTGGCTTTTGAATTCTGCGCTGTGATATAAAGATTTGTGACAATTACTAAGATCTATATGTGCTGAAAAATTTAGAATGCGAGCTCGTAATTCTCCTAGCTGATTTACTACAGAACGGTTATTATTTGCTTTAAAATGTTTATCATGCATTGAATAGGTACAAACATACGATTATCTAATATCATCTTTGTAAAAGAACATTTCAAAGGTTTCTTATTTATTACGCGCGCGGCAGCGGCGTCTGTCACTCAGCTCGTTCATTGTGTGGGATGTCTTGCGGACCCAAATTGTGTGGTTGCTCTTTGCCCTTGTATGTGAATAAACCTTGAAAAGTTGTTATCCTTAAAATGATTCGAATAGATTCCGAATCTCCCTGTCACTCCCTGTCGGCGCGATGGAGACGCTAGAATCTCGTCCATGCGTCCAACTTTGTTGTGATTCTTGGCGTGCCGAGATGTATTGAAATTTTCGAATTATGATCGTCAGTATTATTGAAACTGAAAAATTTCAGCGCCTAGACTTTGTTTGGTCATATAGTAGTTAAGGAATCGAATGAAACGTTATATATTTTCTGAATAAAACAAATAAACAGAGTTTTACGAACATGGTGAGGGCGCTAATTAGGTTAATTACCTAATTAGCGCCCTGGACATGGCACATACATTTAGCCACCAATGTTTTGGTTTGGGTTGAGTAAATGACGTCATACGTTACTCGTGCCATTGCTCTTGAGCCGAATTCTGTGAGTCAAAGAAATAATGGCGAACGAAAATAAATCATAAAGTTTTGGTCCTTTCCTTTCGAATGTCAGAAAGATATTTCAGTGAGTGGTTGTTAATGTATTGAAGATTATTTCAGCACAGTTCCAGCTTGAATGAAAGAGTTTTAATTTTGGAGCGATTTTCGTCCTAGTGGTTCTTTGACAAAAACACTTTTACAGTCCTTTGACTAAACGTTGTCGTTTGATCGGTTTCATCCCTACGCGCCTAGACCGGAAAGGATCATGGGGATAATTAATTCACAGTTACTAGCTATCGCATATGTTATCTAACACGTCTTGAGCTCGCTTWTTTCGATCCCATTTAATTTACTAAAACCATGCCTCGAACATACGGCAAAGATTTAAACTGGCGAGCAGTTTGGATGACGCAAGATCTGGGTAATTTACCCGTTATCCTTCTCG